TGTAGTTTGTGTTATTCAACCGACGAGGTACTAGGTACGATCGATCGAGAGGCGTAATTTTATTCTTTGCTATTTTTGTTTTGTGTTTCGGTATGGCTGCCGAGGACACGCAGACTAAGGCTGTGTGCCAGAAATTTCGTTTTGGAGCCAAGGATGACAGTCATCAATTTGTTGAAAGAAGTAGTGGCAGCGTCGAGCGAAAAGCCCTTCTCTCGTGGCTCGCCGGCCTGGAACACTGTACTCCTGAATTTGGCAACTACATGTACATGTATATACCACGCCAAATGGAAGCCGGTAACCATCCGTACACTTCGAGATAGAACTCATTTGCTGGTGATTCGGACTAATTTTCGAAGAACAGTACAATACAGTCAACTTCGCCTATAACGACTGCGCATATAACGACAATTCGCGAATAACGACAGCATTTCCGTGCCCAGAGCAAAGTCCTTTCCAACTGTAATACATATACTAGTACTGAGACTTCGGGTATAACGACACTTCGCGAATAAGGACACTTTTTTGATGCCCCACCGAGTGTCGTTATAAGCGAAGTTGTCTGTAGTTTACTAAAAAAAAGTCTTTTCATCCACATTTCCCGCGAGGAACTTTGAAATCACGCGCGCCATTCTGCTCTGTTCCTGTGGCAACGACGTCGATCCATAATCACGTCTCGCTAAAGGCTAGCCAAGTATGCAAAACACGTATCGCGCACGCCGATCGACGTGATCAAGTACGTCAAAAGGCCTACGTTGTAACGTGGTGCTAAAGGTCCCTATTAGTAGCTATTCACAACGCTGTCACCTCCAACAACTAGCCTCGAGAACAAGAAGATGAAAAAGATTTTAACTCTGAGTTTCACGAACTAATCCATCATCAGAAAACAGCATGTCTGGTATGTGGTGTTAAAGAAATGGAGCAGACTTCACGGAAGACTTCAAGGAAGAGTGCCTGTCATAAGTAGGCTTTTCCCCAAATCAGCTAAAAGAATTGTTGGCATAATTATTGGCTTCAAAATCGGTGAGATATTGGAAATGCAGCTCTGCTGGATGGAGTAGACTGTCACCGTACGTTGTCGTGTAGTATTTTACTACATGTACATGTAGTAACTGCTACATGTACATGACTTCCAGGACGATATCCAGGAGCGATCAAAGAATACACGACGGACGTAAGGAGAAGTCTAAAACCATGAATACTCCCGTAACTCCCCTAACGTTAGCATAGTGAGAGTCAAAACCGGGTTCAACACCCATATGGTTCAAATGGTCGGAAGGGACGGGGGCTCTGCCAGCCGCGGAAGGCTGTAGTAAGGTCACTGTTTCCGAACACAGACTCAGTGTCCTCCACCTTGTTTCATGCTGTCAATCCAACAATAGTCAAGTTCATGTACATGTACTATGCGCAGTGCTGCCAAACCGTCCGATTTTTCGGACAGTGTCCGATTTTTGAAGGCTCTTCCGAAAACCGGTCCGAAAAAGGAAACGTCCGAAAAGTAACCAAAAATGTCAGAGATCAGTACTTTCCTATTCAGAAGTCCTTTTTCTTTTTTCAGCGCAACTGAAGGCGCAAATCGCTGTCATTACATGTGCTTCTAAAAAGGCTAGCGCTTGGCAGTGGAAGTGCAAAGTACGAGGGCATGTACACTGTACAGTGAGTGCGTTCGATTACACACTTGAATCGATTCATGAATCCATTCGCATGCATTCAAGTCGTTCGATTTCATGTCATGAGCCCTGGAATCGATTCGGAACCATTCACTCTATTCACATGGGGTGATGTGAATAGCGCGAATCGATTCATGAATCGATTCGTGAATCGATTCGCGTGCATAATCGAACGCACTCAGTGTGTGACCACGCTCATGCATTACCAGGATTACAGAATTCAGGCATGGCAACCGCTTATTACTTCGGTGTGCAAGATCGGTTACCATGGCAACGAAGCGAATTTCCGTGGTATTTTGGGCGGTATTTTGAATTCTCCGGAAAATATTGCGGAGGAGGAAAATTCGCACCATGTGGCCAGCCTTGGCGATGAAGGGTGTCCGATTTTGGGCGAAAATTATTTGGCAGCACTGTATAAGGGGTCGTCCACAATTATCGAACTTTTTTCACGAAACGAAATAATTTCGTTATGGGGTGGGAGGGGGTTGACCAATTTCGTTTCAGAAAAGTTCGATACATGTACATGGCCATAGGAGCAGTTACACACTTGCGGGTTTTGTTGTATATGCATGTATATGTCAACATTTTTTACATTCTGAGGGGGAGGGAGGGAGGGGTTGGGTCTAAACTAAAATAATTCGTTTGGTGAAAAAAGTTCGATATTTGCGGACGGCCCCTAATGCGCTGCATGCAGCGCACTGCACTGGTCGCATCAGATTCAGATCAGCACAACGTTCTGTACGCGCTGAGGGCGCGCCGGCCCAGGTCAATCGACTGGATTTCCATGTCCACGACATGTCGACAGACTCAGTAGGTCTACCAGTCCATGGTCTTTCATTGGTCACACACTGCACTGGGCTAGTACCGGCATCTCTGCGGTAACTGATGCAGTGGTACGTGGTGGTCTACATGATTGTAGATCTACATGGTGTGAACATGCAAGGAAGGACCCAGCTAGCTGTCACTGTCAGTGGCTAGCTGTTAGGATTTACACCCAAAACAGCGCAACCATAAACGGCGCGTGTTCATATTAGCACCCCCAGTACAGCGCGACCTAATGTGACACGGTGTCACTACAGCTCGTCTCATCCCTTGCACGCCCCATTTTGGCGCGACCAATTACGTTAACGTCCGAATATAAGCCAGCTCGTTACACACGTGACCCATAATGTGCAGGCTCATGTTAGCAAGAGTGCATAACCAGTTTTATGTACTCTTGATGTTAGTACAGTATTACCATGGTGGATATCAGGAGCAAACCCGTTCCTAAAAAAGATATGCAAAAAAGAGAAGAAACACATGAGAACGAGTTGTGCAGCAACTATCCACGACTGTAACAAGATGATAAACAGTCAGAAAGTGACTGTGCGATAATAGGGCACGAAACGGACAGGCCACTGAGACATTCAGCGGCCCGAGACCTAGCTCTAACACATCTCCAGTGCGCAAACCAACCTTCCAACTTGGAAGGTTCGTGGTTACGTAGGACCGAAGAAGGGAAGATGAGCGAAGCGAAAATTCTGAATATTTACCTTGTTACAGTCGTGGATAGTTGCTGCATAACTCGTTCTCATGTGTCTATTCTCTTTTTTACATTAATTTTATTACTGGCTCAGTATCCGAGTTTAAGAAAGATGTAATAATAATCTGAGGTCGGCCGAGGGATTATATCGGTTGAGCACCTGCTGGAGAGGAAGTCTAGGTACCTCCAGGTGCACTCTGACCTGTCGCTGATTGCTGCTCTGCATTCTCATCCCGAAAATCTCCCACCTACAAAGTCGATCATCTCCCGGGCAGCCACGGCTATGGAGCATTTCAACATCCCGGACATCGGAGGTGAAACAACTGATGTTGTTTAAGTCTGCTATAGTAACCACCACCCAAGGTTCTCTGCGGCAGAAGCCCCTGCATGGTCGCTATTGGCAGCCCAGTGACGGTGTATTGGACATGCCTCTCTCCTTCTTAAAGTCTGCCCCATTGCGTCCATCTGCTAAGTCATCTGTATTTGCTGCTCAGGATCAGGTGGTTAATACCAGGAACTACCAGAGGTCAGTCATTGGCGACACTTCCGTGGTTGACGTGTGCCGTTTGTGCGGAGGTCCGGGGGGAGACTGTTGACCATATTCTGGCATGTTGCCCCGTGTTGGCACGGACAGCGAGTTTGTTTCGGGGCCAGCAGAAGCACAATCACCTCTTGCAGCTGCGGTGACTTGTTAACGTCCAAGCCATTTCGTGACTCTGCCCACAATTTGTTCATGGATTCGCTCCAGGCAATATCGCCATTTAACGTCTTTTCTTTTCTCTATTCTCTTTACCAGGCGTGGGCCATCCCCTGGACTATCAAAAACTATCAAAATGGGTGCCTTATTATTTTTCTGCTTCTGTTTCAGTCCATCACAGATTACCATTTTCGGAAAACCAAAATATGTAATACTGAACTAGCGTTTTTTGAGACGATCATTGCTTTTTTTGAGTTGATCATTGCTTTCTAGAGTTGATTACAACCTACTAGTATTTATATCTGGACTTGGTAACGTCCAAGCCATCTCGTGACTGCCCACAATTTGTTCATGGATTCGCTCCAGGCAATATCGCCATTTAATACTGAACTGCACTGTGTCCCCATTGTACATGTACATGTACTTCCTGTGAAATACCCGTCTTTTCTTTTCTCTATTTTTTCTCTTGACCAGGCGTGGGCCATCCCCTGGACTATCAAAATGGGTGCCTTATTAGTTTCTTTTTCTGTTTTAATGACAATCCATTGCAGATTACCATTTTCGGAAAACCAAAATTTTTAACAGTGAACTGTTTTTTGAGACGATCATTGCTTGTTTTGAGTTGATCATTGCCTTCTAGAGTTGACTACAACCTATTTGTATCTGGACCTGTTAACGTCCATCCAGGCAATATCGCCATTTAATACTGAACTGGTGTTTTTGAGTCGATAATTGCTTTTTTTAGTTCATCATTGCTTTCTAGAGTTGATTATAAATTGAGTCCAGGCAATATCGCCCTTCAATACTGAACTGGCCATTTCGAGTTGATCATGATTTGAGTCTTTGACAAGTCGAGTGTCCATCTTTTGGGTTTGAGTGTAAATGAGTCGACCTGTATTGAGCGTGCGCGCTGACGGGGTGGTCTGTTTTGGGGATGTCCAGTTATGGGTATGGGGCTTTTGGGGGGCGCTGAAGTCAACGGCGCTGTTTTGGGTCGCGCTCATGTGGGGGCATACCGCCTGTAGGTAGTACTAGGCTGTAGATCTACATGATTGTAGTTGAAGCGTGTACTCCTGATCTTGTAGGTAGATGTCATTGTGCGTCTTGCGATACAGAGCCGTACTGTTATGAAGTCTGCTTTCATCATTCGAGTTTCATGTTTGTTAGCCCAAGATTGTCCTCGGATGTATGACCAGAATGGCGAACTCAAAGCAGCCTTCAAATGGCCACAATTATAGGCCGGAATGTGATGACATGCTTCCCAGCGTTGAACAAATTCTCAACGAAAAAATGTCGTTGTTTGAACGAGCATTGAACACGGCCCATAGCCAGCAAGAGCGGCGACGGGTCGAGGAGATACGCACAAGTTGCGAGGATCGAGTCGACAAGTTCGCAACAGCACTCACGAAAGCATGCGAGACAACGTCTGAAAAAATGATACAGCAAATGGATGAGAAAACAAAGCTACTTCTTGCTGAAAAGGAGCGGGAAATGGAGGAAGACAGCCGGAAGAAGTCGGAAGAGTTCGCGAGGCGCTGCCTACGAGCACGCGAAAATTTACAAACAGAGCTGGAAAAAGAAGCCGATCGAGAGGCGACCAGGTTGAAAAACAAGGTAGACGAGGCCACAGGGAAGCTCCGGTCAGATTATACGCAGGATCATAGCAAGCGGTGCTCATCGCTGGCAGACTCCGTCAGGCGGGATGCAGCGGCGACCTTGGCTGCGGACGAGGCGGCCGTCATGCGGAAGCATCGTCAGCGCATGCTGGATACCATAGCCAGCACGACCCAGCGATACGATTTCCTGCTGCGGGATGTGGAGCGTCGCTCGATGGACGACCACCTGCACTTGTCGGCCCAGCTGCTCGAGCTGCAACTGTCGCAGTCGTTGGGAGCAGCGGAGATGGAAATGCTTGAACATACCCGCCAGTGGTGCGGGCGAATGGGTCAGCCGCTTCAGGCCCTGGGCGATGCTGTGCCAGAGCTGGGCGAAGTGCGACAACGGCTGGAAGCAAGGCATCACCTGCGGAAGTACAAGCTGAAAGGTGATTGACGAAGAACACTCATATCACGTAGAAACAGTGAGTGACTTGGGAACATGAAAATAAAGTTTGGCTTCATAGATCTACACTAGAGTCAGACCTCTATCTGATATCGATTCTATAACTATTGTAATGGGTCTGTGTTGGAATTGCGATGCCCTGCAAATTTGATGAGAGAATTATTTTGAGAAACGTGTGCAAGTTAGTTCTCTCTCAGTACTGAGTGCAATAAGCTGGCAAGGAGACTGCATGCTGTGGACTGTGGTAGTACAGGTCATCCCTCGTTATAACGAGTCCGGGTAGTACATAACAGGGCCGGCGGAACCGGTCAGGCTGGTCCGGCCATTGCCGGACCACTTTCCCAGCTGGATGGTCTATGTGATTCGTGCAAAACCGGTGTAAAAAATCCAGAGGTACATGGCTCGACTGTACTGCCGACGTGTGATGTGCTTCGAAGAAGCTCAGGACTCCGTGACTCCGTGACCGGCACTGTATGGCTGATATGGATAAAAACAAGTTGTGTTCTGTGTTCTTTTACTATAATTTTCTGCAATTTGCCCAAATTCGCTCTATTTCACGTGAATTTTAAATATTTCTCCCGGGGGAGGTCCCCCGGACCCCCTCAAAGGTTGGCCGGACCACTCCCGAACTCCTTCTTCCGGCCCTGCATAAACCCGGTTAGTAAATAGAAATCTGAAATCCCCTGGCGAAACGTGGTCTATGCAACTGTTTACAGGTCCAGTTACAACATAATTCATTAGTACATAAAATTCGTTATAACGACCCTTTCCCAGGTCCCTGGAGTGCCAAACCCTCAGTATAAGTAAACTATAAGTATAAGATCATATTGATCATGCAGGACCAAGACCAAAACACATTGGATAAAGCAGAACGGCACCGAACGTATTTTATGTATTCGTAGATATGTACGATCTTTTTCATCCAAGGAAGAGCCATGTTGGAGATTTTCAATTATCTTCTAACGAGTTGAAGCGTCGCTCAAATATGTTGTATCGAGGGTAGCCAAGGCAAATGCGAATTACTGCCTATTTCACCTTTAGATGCAAGTCCTGTTACAAGATAAGTCTCGTTATAAGATAACTATTTTGATGGCCCAGAGATTATCTACTAACGAGGGAGGACCTGTATGGGTATGATCAATGCAAGTACCCAATGTAACATAATCATTATTATCATTGTCAGGTAAGCAGTTGTTGCTACAGCGCTATCAAAAGAGTACGTCATGCAGGTCGGGGCGCTGTGCAGCTCCAGACTTGTGACCACTGTGTGTGCCGCTGTGCAGGCACTGCTACAGGGCGCAAACTTGACTCACAATTGCTACCGGAGAAGGTCGTCCAACGCCACCTTCGAACCAACCAGTGCCTCCGTATACTCGATTGATGATACCGTCAGCACCACTCCTCTGTGGATGCCCTCTGCCTTCCCACTGACAGTCTCTTCGCTGCCAAGGACAGGGGAAATGTGACCGGACTATGCACATTGGACATGTCGAACACATTTGACAAAGTCTGCCACACCCAGCTCATTGTTGATCTGTTTGATGTCGGTGTGTGCGAATCGCCCCCGCCTGGTTTGCAAGCTACCTGACGACGCAAGAGCAGATGGTTTGCATTCGGCCAACCACGAGTCAGGCCACCCCCTGCATGTGCGGGGTGCTGCAAGGATCTGTTCTAGGTCCTGTGCTATTTTCCATTTACACCCGCCACATTCCCTCCGTCCTGCACCCTGTACCCAGCATCCAGTTTGCAGATAGCATAGCATTGTATTCATCGCAGAGTTCTGCTGGCGCTGCCCTGCGCTACGTTCAACCAAGAGTACATAACCCCCCAGAGTGTGCAACGCCTGATCCAGCTCTGCATAGGGTCTTGGTCGAGCGTAATTGGATCTTCTGATGTCATGCGTACACTCCACACCAGCACAAGGCCGGTCTCGAGGCAGAGTACCGTTGATTTTGATCCGAGAGTACCCGCGACTCCCCGGGTTCCCCTCAGATGTGCACAGTATGTATAATATGACGCAAAGATCCGATTACGCTCGACCAAGACCCTACGCAGAGCCGGATCAGGTGTTGCACACTCTGGGGGGTTATGTACTCTTGGTTCAACGGAACGTCCAACCTGAAATGCTAAGAACGCCACAGCCTAAATGACGGTGTTGGTTTTCCGGCAGCTTTTGGAATATTTAATGATCCAATACAAATTGTTTCTAAGAACGTGCTATCAGAAGGCAGCAAGATTGCTGAAAGATAAGAATGCCCCAGGCTAACCCCTTGGAAACAAGTTAGGGCATCCAACTCTACTGTAACCAGTCTGCGCTGTACATCATCACATCTCTTTGCTGTACATCATCACATCTCTTTGCTGTACATCATCACATCTCTTTGCTGTACATCATCACATCTCTTTGCTGTACATCATCACATCTCTTTGCTGTACATCATCACATCTCTTTGCTGTACATCATCACATCTCTTTGCTGTACATCATCACATCTCTTTGCTGTACATCATCACATCTCTTTGCTGTACATCATCACATCTCTTTGCTGTACATCATCACATCTCTTTGCTGTACATCATCACATCTCTTTGCTGTACATCATCACATCTCTTTGCTGTACATCATCACATCTCTTTGCTGTACATCATCACATCTCTTTGCTGTACATCATCACATCTCTTTGCTGTACATCATCACATCTCTTTGCTGTACATCATCACATCTCTTTGCTGTACATCATCACATCTCTTTGCTGTACATCATCACATCTCTTTGCTGTACATCATCACATCTTTTTGCTGTACGTCATCACATCTCTTTGCTTTTCCAAACATACGGTGCAGTTTAAGTATTAAACTGTGCGTTGCTGGACTGACTGCATGATTGGAATACACGTACTGGAAATATGTCGTATTTGCCGAATAAACAATTCTTTCCATTTCAGTGTGTTCTTCCTTTCCTTATTTTTATCAGTATGACCATTAACATGACAGCACTGTGCTATCATGCTGCTTATGTATCTTACACCCATGCGCGCTATGGTGCCGTGAGGTGGGGAGGACGAAGACTTATCTTTAACATTCGATTCACTTTAAAATCCAATTTTTGGGGGTTTGGTACCTTCCCCGTACATTTTGCAACCAGTATCCTTTGACTTTTCGCCCATATATGCACCGAGGGAAACTGCACTGGGAATAATGCATAGGGTTGCTTCCAATGTAGCTAGCAATACACACTGCAGAGACCAAAACACCAGGGTGCCAGTTTGGGATGGATGGACTGTAGTGTAGGCATTGCAATGATTGCATATTTTGATAAATCACTGTCTGCATCGAGCAAAACACAGTACATGTACTCTGAGACGTATATAGAATTACAAAGTAACAGCGCAGCGATTAAAATAACGCACGTTGGTTATCGCTGACAGGCACTGCAGCAGGTCGCCACAACAAAAACAGCATAGCGCGGAGAGGTGCACAGGTACACTGTCCGGCGAGAGGCAAGCCGGGCAAACGGACGGGACAACACAAAGGGCACGGGCCTGCACTCGCACGTGTCTGCTCGTCCACGCGTCTCAGCACACGTGATGCACTAGGAGCAAACATGTACTAAAAAAAGAGTACAAGTGGGTGGTGGTGGGTGGGTGTCAGGGCTTCGTCCCGGGAGCGCCGTTTGATCATAGAATTCGAAAAAGAAAAAAAAAGATGGCTAAATTGAATTAGTGAGATCAAGTGCACTGCACCTAATTCTCACGGCGCACCTTCTTCTTCGTCGGCTTGCGAGGTGATCGCCTGCACATGAAGAACGACCGGCAGACAAACACACAGGCATACAGATTGGAATGCAGCGGGGAACAGCGGTCAATGGGCAACGTTCAAAAACACAACTCTACATAAAGACTCTGTCGTGACACCCCCCCCCCTCTCTCCTCTCTCTCTCTCTCTCTCTCTCTCTCTCTCTCTCTCTCTCTCTCTCCCTCTCCCTCTCCCTCTCCCTCCCTCCCTCCCTCTCTCTCTCTCTCTCTCTCTCTCTCTCTCTCTCTCTCTCTCTCTCTCTGTCTCTCTCTCTCTCGTCTCTCTCTCCCAGAATTCTGTCGTTTTTCGTGATTCAATGCACCTGGCTGTACACACACATCTGTCCATTGTGCACAGTCAACACTGCAGCTCTAACGCATGTATACAGATGATTGTTATCATGGGAGCTGATGTAACGAGCGCAATGACAGGTAGCTCTGACCCAGGCCCTTCTCTGAAATTGCCACACCTCTCACCAAGACTGTATACTTATAATGATGGTGCTTGCGGGTGTTGGAGGCATGTGTGTGTGTGCGTTTGTCTTTCACCGTAAACTAAAAATGTCCTACTTCTGTTCCCTCCTCCTTTCTCTCCCAAACTCAATGATGTTGTATCTTGCCCAGGAATCACCCCTGCACAATGCTCTGCAGTCGTTTGCTTCTGCGGAGCACTCGGGTTGCAATGAAGCCGAGACCCAGGGAGTCATAGCATATTATACGCATGGGGAGGGACGACACGAGACCGTAGCAGCTGGAGTGATGCACGTTTCAACTCTGGGTCATGAAGCTGCACGTCATCTATGATCTCCGCAGCGTTAGATTGCGGTCATGAACTGCTGACATGTACAATGCCCAAGCCAGCAATGGCGTACACAAGTATGCAGATTGGCCCTACCCACAAGGGCAAATGGAACGCAAAGACCATGTTGGGTCGCGATCAACCTGCCGGTGTCGTCTCCCCGGATTATATGGCTGCCTGCAACACATGCATGATTGTATGTGCGCGCGGGCACCCGCTCGTACACGGACATTTATCCTGTGTTCTGTGCAGAGCACTTACCTAGGTTCATCTTCTGCTGCATCGGGCTGCAAACGGGCAGAAAGGAAGAACACCAAAAGAAAACAAACCAACAGAACAGGAAAGACAGTCAGAAAAACACATGGGACACCCGACACTAGGGGGGGGGGGGGGGGGCAATTGCAAACGACACGGTGAAATCTCACAACACATTCTGGTTGATCGTTACTCCTTTCGGAGACGTGTGAATATCCGATGACCGTACTGTTCCATAGCTTTTCATTGTGCGGTGGTGGCTGGGGGTAACTAGACCTGTTGCAGTGAGATGCAACACATAGTACTGATAATAACGTGAAATGTGTGTGTGTGTGTGTGTGTGTGTGTGTGTGTGCGCATGCACAGTAGCAGTCAAACGCATAATAATGCGCACAGCCACATACACAATACACATGCATGCACGCACAGCCACACACGTGCACCATCGCATATAGACAGACAGACAGACAGACAGACACACACACACACACACACCAGGGCAGCACCGTACCAAGCCAAGCTCCTGCTCTGCTGATGCTGCAGCCGATGCTGACGGCGCAGACGCTATTTCTGGTTCCGGCTCTAGAGCTGCCACGCGCGGCGGCTCTACCTCCGGTTCAGGAACAACTTTGACATCGGCCTTCTTGCCCTTTCTTGAAGGAGAAGCCTTTGCTGGTGCTGGCGATGCCTTTGCTGGTGCGGGCGATGCCTTTGCTGGTGCCGGCGATGCCTTTGCTGGTGCCGGCGAAGCCTTTGCTGGTGCTGGCGATGCCTTCTTTACGGGTACTTCCTCCTCTACAACTTCATCCTCTGCTGCTTCTTCGTCGCTGTCCACCTCTTCTTCTACGTTGGCTGGTGCCGGATCGTCTGGCTGGTGCTCATCAGTCTTCTTGGCACGAGCACGCCGGTCAGCATCACCATCATCCTTCTGTTAGGTATGTCACAAGAAACCACACAGGGAAAACATCTTTAGGAAATAGGCTTTCTCGCTCTCTCTCTCTCTCTCTCTCTCTCTCTCTCTCTCTCTCTCTCTCTCTCTCTCTCTCTCTCTCTCTCTCTCTCTCTCTCTCTCTCTCTCTCTCTCACTCAACACATCTATAATATTAGTATTGCACAAGCTATGATGCTGAAGCCTTGCAGAAAGTGCTCAATGCCACGAAGGTAGATCCCAAAACACAACTTAGCAACGCTTAGCTTAATTCAGCGTACAGTCAAACCTCGTTAGGACGAACTTCAAGGGACTGAGCAAGTTTGTGTGTCTTATCCGGAGAGTGAGAGTGAGAGAGAGAGAGAGAGAGAGAGAGAGAGAGAGAGAGAGAGAGAGAGAGAGAGAGAGAGAGAGAGAGAGAGAGAGAGAGAGAGAGAGAGAGAGAGAGAGAGAGAGAGAGAGTACACACCTTGCTTGGCAGGCAGCAGCCAACAATCAGGACGACGGGAAGAACGACGATGACAATAGCGTAGACAGCCCACAGCCATGGCCGCTCCTCAGCTGAAGACATCAAGGATGTTAGCAGTCCATGCTGTATACACAAACAACAAGAGAAGTAATATAGAGACAAGGTTCAGACAGTCTTCATACTCATAACAAGTAAGCAACAGGCGAGAGTCGATGATGGGGTTCGACAAATAGGACTCCATGGAAGGCAAACCAGGAGAGTAAACAATAGGTTTCAGCACGCAAGTTCACGACAGTCCTTGCACTTGTGACAATGCACGAATGATTCGTTCAAGCATGCGACAGACAACCTCCTATAATTATAGACATTGAACTGGCATTGTACAGTATACCATGCTTGCACGACTAGTGCCCCTGGGGCACTATTTTTGCCATGTCCATCACAGATGGGGCACTATTTTTTCAATGCTGCTACATTGGGAGGGCTCTATTGTTTTCATAGGCTCTATTCGACACGGGGCACTATTCAAGAGAGGGCTCTAATCGCGCGAGTCACGTATGCGTATGGCAGGGTAAAAATGGATGATTGGAGGCTGAGCGGCCAGGTACATGTACTTGGGGTGGCCGTATACAAGCTATGCGAGGTGATGGAGAAATGGTGAGAGGTATGTGCATGCGTCACGGAACTTACTGCGGTCGAGACAGGTGCTTCTGCAGCAGTCTTGGCATCAAAGCTACAGCAAACACACACACACACACACACACACACCATTACAACTACAAACAAGATCAGCAGAGCAAGCCGCTTGACAAAGGGAACACATAATCTTGGTCTAGCCGGTATTGCAACTTGCCACAAATTGAGAGTAAGTGCGTGCCAGGCAACAACCACGTGGATCATTTCTACATTCATTTCCAAAACAAAGAAGGAAGATCAGGGTGTATGGCAGAGAAAGAGAGACAAGCCGACACCACCTCACCTATCAGCAGCATACTGATCAGCAACGGCTTCGTCGTCGGTCAGGATGATATTGTCAAACAGCTGACCAGCCGTCATGGTCCACAGCTCAACACCGATGGCACCCTGGTGGCAAAAGTGGCCGCCACAGCAGACACAGCAGACACAGCAGAAACAGCGGCAAAAACAGCAACAAAAACAGCAGAGGCAGCAGTCAGCACAATCACCGTGGACATGCATTATTGGTGCACGGGTTGATGGAATTATACACACCACGAACACTCATGCACATGCACTCATGCACGCACGCACACCACCACACACACACAAGCACGCACAGATGCGCGTGCAGCCAGTCAACAATCAGCTCATCATTATGGGAAGAAACACAAAAAGAAGCCAACAAATTGCCTGACAGAAGTATCCGTTACGGCCCTTCTGTTAGAATAAACCCCAACTGAGATAAATACGAAAGGAGAAGGTATAAAGAAAATACCCATACTGCTGAATGCCTTTTCTTACAATGCTGCTCATCTTGAATGGCTCCAAATCTTCAAAGAAATCTGGGTTGGCAATCTTCTTCGGCTTCCAGATGCCCTGAAGTAGAACACAGCAGAGATTGAGAAAGAGAGGGCAACGCCACTCAGATGTGTGGAGGTGATAGCAGGATAGAGATATGATATCCGTGCAGTTTAGGTGCCCAATGTCTTCACAATTCCACCACATCGCTGGTTCGCTTTTCCGGTCCACGGGAGTCTGAAAAATATCCCCCCCCCCCCCCCCCCCCCTATATGCTTCCACATAATGATTTTGCTCGCACATACCCATAATCACACGAACGCCCTCTCCCAGACAAGGAACCTTCCTCATCGACACATGCACCACAACCCTTCCATCACCAGCAGCACCACCACAGATGCCGTAATCACAGTAGTTTTCATTCAATACTGAGTAGGGGTTAAACGGTTCCATGTTTTTCATGTTCGGGTACCCTAATGCCAGCATAGTTTCCCACGGTTTGGGTATCGGTTCCATGCACTCTTTTCTCCAGACCGACCAATTGGGCCAAATGCGTTCGTGACAATTATTTTCAAGTTAGAAAACATTTTTACGGGCAAGAACGAGACATCGGAGAGTCCATGTGCGAAACAGGTACGCTCGTAGTGACCAGGGTCAATAGGAGAACACTTTGGAAGGGCGGTGATCGTAAAGTAAGACATTTAAAAATCTTGAGTAGACTTGACGTGTACATGTATTTGTACGAGAACGAGATTTTTCGAGTTTCGGCTCGAAATTTGACGGAACGGGTATCCGATTCTTTTCAGCTGGCGGTTCCAAAACCGGTTCCTTACCCGAACCGTTTCACCCCTAATACTGAGCTAGCTAGCTTATCTTACCTGGTAGTTTGGGTTATCAATCATGGGAGCACGCCACTTGCCCTTGTAGGCAGGGTTCACCTTGGTGGGACGGGTCCAGGGGCCACAGCCACTAATCTTGGCACACTTGGGATTGTCTACAGAAAATATAGATAACACAAAACGAAACAATATTCGAACGGCTTTCTAGGAGACGAGAAGCCTCAACCGCAAGGAAAAAATGCAAAGCTTCAAAATGTCTTCCTCGTGAGAAAAGGATTTTCCTGTCCAAGAAGCCTGTGACCTTCGATATTTTAGTGTGACGAATGAAGAAACACAGTATTGAGAATCCAGGATACAGGACCAGAGCCGTGAAGGTGAAAGATGCTGAGATGTTGGGTAAGCATGCATGCTAAGGCATACACAATAGACTGAAAGAAACTGAAAGCAACGTACCAATTTTAGGAGCTTCGTATTCACCGTCCTCGTCAACATCCCTACAGGAATACAGTGCGTACAAACACATAATGAGAATGCCATGTTCAGTGAACACACACACACACACACACACACACACACACTTGTACTTGCTCACTGCCAAACACTGGTCACGTGGGTCTCCCCGGGAGAGGGAGAGAGGAACTCAAAAGGAATCTTGGAAAGAGGACTCAACTGGCTATTGAACCGCCCAACGGCCGATACCCCCTGAAATCCCCAAACTATGGGTGGACTTGCAAATGATCCCACTTACGAGCTCACCACATCTCAGTAAGTGGGTGAGGACAAGGTGCACACGCACACACACACACGCACGCACACACAGAGAACAAAAACCTATTCAAGGCACCCAGAAAAAGCAAGAGAACTGCACATACTCGAGGAGATGAATCTGCAGCAGCACCAGCAGCAATGACAACAATAGCAGTAACAGCAAGAGCAACATCGGTGACAACAGCAACCACAGCAGCTCCAGCAACAATGCAAACAGCCGCACCAGCAATGTGTGCCTCAATCTGAATAGCCAGGGTCAGCCCGACCTATAAACTGTAAGAATGCACCGCACCCGGCACTCGGTGGTTACAATCGGCTGGGCAAAACCTCTGGCTGATACCAAGAGTACATAACCCCCCAGAGTGTGCAACTGTGTACACAACCTCTATACAGTGCTGCGACGGCAGAATCTCACATCACCTGACATGGTTCAAAAATCTACGCTGGCAGACCGTGTAAAATGACCACAAGGGAGTTGAACCCAAAGCGTACAACCAAGAGCAGATAAACAAGAGTGTGCAACTCCGGATCTCTCCTGCACAATCTCCATATACCCCCGCCCACGGCGGAATTTTTTCTTGACGTCACCTTTTTTCAGAAAAACGCGCTTCTTGCCGCAGAGCAGTGTGAGAGCAGGTGCTGGGCACCGACCTTGTAATGTAAAGCCCGGCTAAATGCACGAGGCAAAACTTTCCAAAACACTAGCAGCGCGTGGGTCGTCGAAAAGATTACGCCAACAAAAAATTCCGCCGTGGGCCAACCCATCCGCGCGGATCCAGGAGTTGCACACTCTTGTTTATCTACTCTTGGTACAACCCTTCATGCACAGGGTGCAAATAATGTGTACGGGCTCGTCACGTGATGTGAAGTTCTGCCATCGCAGACTCCACAGTGGGAGTTGCACACTCTTGTGGGATATGTACTCTGGCCAATACCCTGACCCATGCTACTATCACTCACCAATCTTCAGGCTTGTCTGCCTCGGGATCCTCCACGTACTGCGGCTCCTCCACCAGCCAGTCGCTTGGCATGCTGGCATCGTCGTCGGGAATGTGAGAGGGCGCATCCTCGTCCCAGTCGTCCGGCTTGCTCGCCTCCGGGTCGGGGATCTTCTCCTTGTCGTCCCAGTCCTCGGGGCGTTTGTCCTCGGGGTCGTCAATCTCTGCTGGCGGGTTCACAGCAGGCCTGTGTAAGTACCCAGCACACAAATGCAACACATCACAACGGTAGCCATTCAAACCCGACAACATTGTGTAGCAAGAAGGACCCACGGGTGTGTGTGATCCCTGGTACCGTATTTGCCGGTGTATAGTGCGCACCCTGAGCAGTGAATTTTGAAGCTCAAATCTGTAGTGCGCACTATACACCGAATACGAGAATCTAGTACAAAAGTGCCCGAGTTCAAGAGTTCAAGTGCGCACTATACACGTAATGTGCTACATGTACATGTTCGTCTGAGACCTCCTGATGATATTGATTGGTTCTTGGACGAAACAATGTTGTTTTCATGTTCACAGTCGTAATCCCATCAATTTCATAGTCATAGTCTGACTTACCGGAAAATATTCTTAAGTTTCACCATCCTTTGACGAGATCAATTTCAGAACCAAATATCCCCGATTTGACTGCGCGTTATACACCGAATAGAGCCATTTTGTGTAATTTGTGGTTGAAGATTGGGGGTGTGCGTTATACAAAGGTGCGCGTTATACTCCGGTAAATACGGTAGCCTAATCGGTAGGGCACTGTCCCGGAAAGACAGGGGTGCTGGGTTCGAATTCCGCTCGTGGGCTCTTCTTTTCCAACATAACGACACAAAGAAAGTGTTGCCATTAGCGGGTTGTTATTATGCATGAGGTTGAATGTACCCAGTCAGCTGTCTATAACGTCTGAAGATAAAGTCACTATTCGAAACGCCCAAGGTCGGTATTCACGAGGTTGACCTAACATGTACCACACAGTATGGTCTACTACTACTACTAGGGAGCAGAGAGGACAGAGCGTAGCAATTCTGAAACAAGAGACGCTCACACGATACCTCATGTCCTCCAGGAGGCTTCCAGACTTCAGCACGACCCTGTCGATGGAGATGGTGAAGGTGTTGTCCGGACGCACAACTGCACATTGCCACCGAACAACAAGAACCACAGAAATCACACCACGACAACAGAATGCAATGCGTGGACAACAGGAATAAGGAGTAACAGTAGGTCACAAAAGACTCAAAGAGTATAACACACCGAGGAGCAATTCTCAATTTATAGTACATGTAGATGCTTGCAATCAATGGCAAGAAGACACAGGCATTTGCACATGCGCATGGACACAGGCATTTGCACATGCGCATGGACACACACACACCCCACACCCACAGAACGAAGGTCGCGTACCGAGACGCAGAAGATGGGTCTTCTTGTCCTTGACATCGGGCAGAGTCACCGACGACAGATCAGCATGCTTCTCCTGTTACATCAATAACAATAAAACAGGAAACATAGTCAGGTAATAACAGACACACTATCGTCACTACGGTGTTGACAGCACCACTCTTTGCGTTTCGTGAAGCAACAATAATATGCTGATTTGGGGTCCAAATTTTGGAAATTTTCAGCGGAGTCCCCCCCCCCCCCCCCCACACACACGAGAAGAAATAATAATTATGTATTTCAGATGGCAAAAATACGTGGCGACGCTCCCGAGATACTTCTAAAATCTCAACAGCATTACTAAGTTCATTGGTCACAGCGAGACAAGAAAGCAGGAGAATGACTTGGACGCCTACCTCAAATTCGCCAGTCTTGGGGCTCTTGTGGCGGAAGATGAAGTGCAGCTGCAAAGGACAACACACAAAGGCACAACATACGTCTAATTGCGTACAGTCATGAATAAAAAGAAGAAGACTGAAAAGGACTCTAATTCAGTCACAAGTGCATCATCGCAGAATGAGCAACAGTGTTGTTGAGCACTGGCACTGACAGAGGGCAAGGCAACAATGGATGATGAACGTGAAAAACAATGACAAGGCATAAGGCCCATCTGTCAGAACGTTACATGACGACACACGAAATTCTCTTACATGCATCTGTTGGAGCCAGTGAAGAAAACTCATTTTTAAAGACAGATATCCAGGGAACATTACGATTCAAGAGTAGTACACACAACCCTGCGTTCAGCATGCGGACAACACTGACCTTGTTCTCCGTGCCGCATGAGTCTGGTCCAAACATGATGGTGTATGGAGTCTTGTCGGTGACTTGGGCCTAACAGCAATACCGTTCGTAGTAAACACAACAGCAACAGTAACAGCACCAGTATCAATAAAAGCAGCAATAGTAGTAGCGAAAGTCAGTCAGACATATTTTTTAACAATTAAAATCCACAGAACAGTGCTCATAGAAAAACAATACCACAGACGAGAAGAGCGAGCGAGCAAGAGAGAGAGAGAGAGAGAGAGAGAGAGAGAGAGAGAGAGAGAGAGAGAGAGAGAGAGAGAGAGAGAGAGAGAGAGAGAGAGAGAGAGAGAGAGAGAGAGAGAGAGAGAGAGAGACAGAGAGATAGAGATAGAGAGAGAGAGACAGAGGAAGAGAAAGAGAGAAAGAACAGAACAAAAACTAGGAAAGTTAGTGCTCACCAAATCCAGAGAATCCGAGTGTGAAAGCAGTTTGATGTAAGAACCACCGCAATCCATGCCCTGCTGCAGCTTCAAATCATATCTACAGAATAGAAGGAAGGAGAACTCCGCTATTAGAATGGTGACGCTGAGTAAAGGTAACTAGCTATTCATGCACACACTACGGCAGGCTTTCGGATACAACAACTGAGATTGGAATGGAAGGTACACAAAATTAAGGTGGCCTGCAGAACCGGCAATTGTGGCCAAAGGATTGAGAAGAAAAAGGAAAAAGAAGCAAGTCCGACTCATCCCTAGGTACTGAGCCATTGTATAGCACTGCTCAATGAAATCCAATCGTTTGAGTCAATGAGTCGATTTTCGGGCCGTACCAGTTTACACCCTAGTGTTCTGTAATCTAGGGCAGCATAGCGCCCGGCGCATTCCTCGACTCGCACGACCAGATTTCATCGACCAGCACCGTAGAGCAACACACTGTACTCATGCAGGCTGGGAACACAACACACCTGCATCCAAAGTCATGTGGTCGTACGGTTTGACCAGCGTTCTTAAATGAACAAACGGCAAGTGGGTTTGAACCGGGCCCAAGCGCTCCGCACTTTCCCGCTATTGGCCCATAATTATGATAATTAGGTAGCTACTATCTGTTCAGTCCCTGACTTTAGCCCTTTCACATCCACTGTCAAACAGTGTGGACTTACTGAAAGACCAGCGGCTTGTCCGTGAATTCGAATGTGGTAGCCAGAGGAGCGGAGACAGCTGCGTGCTTTGCCTTGTCCTACCAAAGCCAGCCACGGCGGGCAACAACAAAAAAACAGAGAGATAAATACGAGCCCAGCACCTCCACAAATCACTCCAGAAGGACAGAAGCACATGTAAATACTAGAAACCTGATCGAGACTTCATTCGGTGTACGGAAAAATGAGTCGCAGTATCTGTTGACGCGAACACGTTGACAAGAAGACCAAAACGTCTTCCAGCAGAGAGGGATGGTATGGAATAAACATCGTCTCCTTGATAAAGGAGCCAGACAAGACAACAGATCTGTAACTGTGTAGTTCCCGTACGCACCTTCAGAACGAGACCGACATCAGTTTCAAGGGAGTTCTGCTCTGCAGATTCCACGCTCCATTCACCTGCAGTGGAATCAAGAACACAGCGTCGAACCATTCATCTTTGAGACATGATACACACGTACAGCCAAACGTCCCTTATCCGATCACATCGGAAATAGTGTTGTCGGATCAGTGAAAAAGTAGGATATATCAGGACATTAGCACTAGGGGTGTCGACGAGCAGTAGGGTACCCGTGCTACCCGTAATTTGACCGGGTAGTAGGGTAGCAATTTGCTCCTGAGAACCCGATCGGGTAGTTGGAGTACGGTGTTTTTGCAACGGTGCATGTAAACAGCATAGCATGGCTACGTGCTACTGTACACTCACAGTACAAACTGTATCAAAAAAATTGAAAAAATACCCGATAGAGCACCCGAAATATCCGGACCCGTTACCCGACCAAACCCCTACCCGTTGCAGCCCTATTTAGCACAGCACAGTGGTAACGAAAGTCGATAATTTTACATGTATAGGTTTGCAGAGTCGAAGGTTCAATGGACTTCTCGTGTGCTCTGGATGGCAGTCGTGAGTCAGTCAGGCGTGAAGTTAAATCGGTGGAAAAGCACGAGCTGCAGTGTAGGGAGCAACCAACCTTCCATCTCAAAACACTTTGTGTATGATTCTACCGGCATACATGTACACAGAGAAAAAATATACTCCTATTCATTTCCACTTTCATGGTACTGTACTGCCTGCGGCAACGTATCAAATGACAGATTTCAAGTCGCTGATCAATAATCAGCACAACCGGTTGCATCTTCACTGCCTTTCACATCACCACGCCAGCAGGACGAAGAGTTTCATGGAAATGAGTCATAAATTGATCCATTCCAGGCTGTTCACCGATCTGACATGTTTGGGCAGCCGGAGATCGGTGGATACCGTTAGCGAATTTTGACTATTCATGCCTTCTGACAATTCTGCGGATAGGACTCTTTCTGTCCTGCACAAGTCCCAGCATGTTGCATAACATGAAAGGAACACTGAACTTGCCCTCTCCCAGGAGAAAACGGCCAGCAAAAAACCCATCAGGTGGATGTGCATACAAATGAGCCAAACTGCCAGAGCATCGAGGGCACTAAGAGCCACTGGCAGGGAGAAGGTAATGCAAAAAAGAAGGAGGACTGGCTGATTTTCTCTCGAGCCGACTCACAATTCAGAGACTCATTTGAACAGCAGCACTATTTACCTGTGATTTTGTCTAACTTACCGTCGTATTTAGCAATGTCAGCATCAGCACCGTCCTTCATTGCTGCAGACTTGACCCATCTGTGTGCGGAAAACAAACAATAACACTATGAACTTCAGACACGAGCACATGGCACATGCAGTCTCTACATAAACATTGGTTCAAACAACAAGAGGATGGAAAAGGTGTTTTAAACCGTTTTCCGTCCTCTTATTGTTTGAACTAGCTCTACCTCTCGGTATTGAGCACTCTCTTGGACAGCCTGGAACCTCTCTGTTTTAAACATTGGTACATGACAATGAGAAACAACTCCATGGGATGTACGATTTTGAACCCTGCAAAGTAGCCTACCCGGATGGAAGGGAGCCTGCGTCGGCATCCTGGAAGTTCTCGGCGAAGTGAACACTGCCAGACGGGTTGGGGGCCTTGAAACCCTACAACAAGCAACAAACACATGTGTCCGCATGCGCACAGACATGCCACACACACACACAGAGATACGGACACACACGCACACGCATATGAACACATGGACACATGCGCGCACACACACACACACGCACACATTCGATCATGCCACCACAAGGAACAGTTCATAATTGTCACCACTGTTCAAGATTCGGAACTCTCAGACCCCTGTCAGAGCCTACCTACAAAAATGTAATAGACGATACCGTATTATCTCTAATATTTAAAGCAGTCTCCAATAATAGCATTTCTCCAATAATAGAACACCTTGGGGCGGCATTCAAAAAATAAAGTGCTCAGTCTCCATTATAAGCACACTGTCTATCGGTACCTGGTAAAATGCATGTACGGAATAATCTCTAAAATGCAGTACTGGCGAAAAACCCCTGAAATGGGTGTGTGTCTGACATGAATTTGGCATGGTAACATGCCTCTGAAATGAGGTTGAAATGATAATGGAACAGTCTCCAATAAAGAAACGTCTCCATTAATAGCACGGGGCGGAGGTACATTCAAAAATAAAGGACCACGCTTATGTTAGAGATAATACGGTAAGCTGTAGTGTAAGCAAAATACAGTCGTGGCCAAAGAAATCCGACCCAAGAGTCAAAAGTAGTGCCGCGTTTCCATTTCCATCACAGCATGCACAGGCCAAAAAAATCACCCGAGGGCCGCAGGGGCAGCATGAGCCTTGGCGCTGCTTTCGGCACGTGGGTCGCATTTCTTTGGCCACGACGGTACAATTACACAAGTGACCTGAGCTGGACAATTCCAAAGTTCCACAAACTGAAAAATAATTATTTCGATAAATGAATGGCGCTACGGATATCGTGCGCGACGCGTGCATGCCAAGCAATGGTTACTGCTTTACTCTTCCTAAGCTAACACTGACAATGAGAGCCAAGGGTGTACATAAAAAGCATTGCTCAAACACCCACGCTAACTCGTGAAGAGTCGAGTGAAGTCTTGAAAATAAATACAGGTATGTGGCAAAATGAAAACAATAATAGCATACTGTGCGGCAGCAGAACAGACTTACCTCCTCGGGAGAGGCCCAGCAGCCTACGGCAACACAGAGGAACACCAACTGCCACGCACCAGCCATGGCTGTACTTTTTTCTAGAACAAGGTCCTAGGCGAAAGTACCAGGCTCTCAAAGAGGCCTTTCAGTTCGCAGCGTGATTTGAAAAGCACAAGCTGTGAGCAACAAGTCCCAAGATTTCTCAAATGTTCCAAGAACTTTTGCAAATCGACGACGTCATCTTACCTTTGTTGATCGAACGCGCACTGGTCGCCATTTTCGTTGTCAGGGAGAATGCGTCGATATTTTACTACCGGTTTTCGGAAAAGACGGTACTTCGACAAGCTTCACTTCATGATTCAGCAGGCCCGGCTTGTTGTGTGGCCATGGTATCCATGGTATCACCAAGAGGCAAGAGTAGATAAACAACAAGAGTGTGCAACTCCGGATCTCTCCTGCACAATCTGCAGATACCACCGCCCACGGCGGAATTTTTTGTTGACGTCACCTTTTTTCAGAGAAATGCGCAGTTTGCCGCAGAGCAGTGTGAGAGCACGTGCTGGACACCGACCTTGTAGTATAAAGCCCGGTCAAGAGCACGAGGGAAAACTTTCCGAAAGACTCGCAGCGCGTGCGTCGTCGAAAAGATTACGTCAACAAAAAATTCCGCCGTGGGCCAACCCATCCGCGAGTTGCACACTCTTGTTTATCTACTCTTGGTATCACCGACAGAGCTACTGTGTACATGTACTGCTGTGTAGAGCTTCACTTCTTCCGGCAGTGATCCGATCTCAGACTACTCACGATCTTATCATCACCGGTTCAGAGGGCTATAAATAATAATTAATAGGGCTCACGATCACTGACGTTTGGGTGGTGGTGGTGCACGGGGTGACCATGGTGACTGAAAGAGAGAGGTGGTGCACCGGCGCGGTGGTGGTGGTGGTGGTGTGTGTGTGGCGGGGGTGGGTGGGGTGTGTGTGTGTGGGGGGGGGGGGGGGGGGGTGTATGTTCTCTGAGGGATATGCAAGGAAAGAAATATCACATGAGATTGTGAAGCAACACGAGAGTAAAGCCTGATTCATACTTCATTTCGCGTACAGCCCGGGAACGCGTCGTGTAGCGAAAAAGTTGACTTGAGCCCAACTATTTCGTGCCAGTCAACGCACGACGACAGACAGACAGACAGAGAGACACGAGAGCCTAGAGAGAGAGAGAGAGTCTGTGCGTGTGTGTGTGTGTGTGTGTGTGTGTGTGTGTGTGTGTGTGTGTGTGTGTGTGTGTGTGTGTGTGTGTGTGTGTGTGTGTGTGTGTGTGTGTGTGTGTGTGTGTGTGTGTGTGTGTGTGTGTGTGTGTGTGTGTGTGTGTGTGTGTGTGTGTGTGTGTGTGTGTGTGTGTGTGTGTGTGTGTGTGTGTGTGTGTGTGTGTGTGTGTGTGTGTGTGTGTGTGTGTGTGTGTGTGTGTGTGTGTGTGTGTGTGTGTGTGTGTGTGTGTGTGTGTGTGTGTGTGTGTGTGTGTGTGTGTGTGTGTGTGTGTGTGTGTGTGTGTGTGTGTGTGTGTGTGTGTGTGTGTGTGTGTGTGTGTGTGTGTGTGTGTGTGTGTGTGTGTGTGTGTGTGTGTGTGTGTGTGTGTGTGTGTGTGTGTGTGTGTGTGTGTGTGTGTGTGTGTGTGTGTGTGTGTGTGTGTGTGTGTGTGTGTGTGTGTGTGTGTGTGTGTGTGTGTGTGTGTGTGTGTGTGTGTGTGTGTGTGTGTGTGTGTGTGTGTGTGTGTGTGTGTGTGTGTGTGTGTGTGTGTGTGTGTGTGTGTGTGTGTGTGTGTGTGTGTGTGTGTGTGTGTGTGTGTGTGTGTGTGTGTGTGTGTGTGTGTGTGTGTGTGTGTGTGTGTGTGTGTGTGTGTGTGTGTGTGTGTGTGTGTGTGTGTGTGTGTGTGTGTGTGTGTGTGTGTGTGTGTGTGTGTGTGTGTGTGTGTGTGTGTGTGTGTGTGTGTGTGTGTGTGTGTGTGTGTGTGTGTGTGTGTGTGTGTGTGTGTGTGTGTGTGTGTGTGTGTGTGTGTGTGTGTGTGTGTGTGTGTGTGTGTGTGTGTGTGTGTGTGTGTGTGTGTGTGTGTGTGTGTGTGTGTGTGTGTGTGTGTGTGTGTGTGTGTGTGTGTGTGTGTGTGTGTGTGTGTGTGTGTGTGTGTGTGTGTGTGTGTGTGTGTGTGTGTGTGTGTGTGTGTGTGTGTGTGTGTGTGTGTGTGTGTGTGTGTGTGTGTGTGTGTGTGTGTGTGTGTGTGTGTGTGTGTGTGGTGTGTGACTGTGTGGTGGAAAGACAGAGGTGGAAAGACAGAGACATAGAGAGACAGAGAGACAGAGAGAGAGAGAGGAGAAGAGATATGGAGATTGTGATTGTCATGATAATGGATTCTGACATGGAGTTAGATACTGAGTACTCAAAAGATTTGATATGGATAAAATCTGGGAAAGTCGATAGTCGTGACAGGAGCTTTAAATGTCCGCCAATCACCTTCTATACGGACCGCAACTGGGAGAGCATTCCACAGAATGCTCCCGACAAACTGAATTGAGCGACGTCCAGGGGGATCAGGGAGGAACGGAACTCTCAGCAGGCCTGACACTTGACCACGTGTCGTCCTCAGCTGAGGGGTGGCAGGGTGGTTGATCGGCACGAACAGATGGTTTAAAAGGTGACTGGTCTTGCCATGCAAAGTTCGCAAACATTCGAAGACGAAGATGGTAAGCTTCTGAAAGAGAAGTTGTGGCAAGCTTGGCACACCTAGTAGCTTGAGAAGGAGGGCAGTCGGGACCAGAGTCCTTTGCTGCAGGGTCGCTCTGACATCGGATTTAGACAGGCGATGGAGTTTATCTAGGAGCTGCTTTGAAAGACTGGAGAAGAAACAATTGGAGCCATAAGACAGATGAGCCTGTATCATGCTGACATACTTTTTTCTTTTTTTTAGAAGAAAAAATACCAGACCTGGCGGGCTCTTAGGCTCAGGGACCTGCCGTGTCGCCATAGCTGTCCAATTATACTGGCCTGATCCTCCGTGTGACATGGCTGATATGTGCCTGTCCGTATGCCCCCACTTCAGCCAAACCCTTAACCGTGTGGCCCATTCCAACGCGCTCACGATCGCGAACCCCAACCTCCACCACACTCACAGGGAACAATCTCTCAATGAGAGGTCATAATTGTCAATTACAACAATCAGATATTTTGCGGATGTTGGTGCTTCCAGGGGTTGCACCGGTACGGGATAAAATGGGAGCAAGCTACACTGTAGTGAGACCTAAACAGGTCACAACAGCTGCTACCTGTCCCGAGATCAAGTGATACTGTACATGTACATGTACATTGTACAGTGCTGGCAACTGAAATCCGACCCCCTAGCGTCTCGTACGAATCGCTAACGCAGCTAGCGCACCGCTAGGGGGGGGGGTCGGATTTCAGTTGCCAGCACTGTACATCTCATAAACAAACAAAAAGATTATTATTACCCATCAGCACTCGGGTGTTACTCACCGTGTTAGCGGCCATCGTGAGTTCCCTTCGGGAACGGACACGATAATTTACTTTCTTTTGTTACTCGGCCTATGGCCGTAGATTGGCACCCACCGAGCTTACCTCCAGCAACCAGAGAGGGTTTGGAGGAAAACATGACCGATAGAACTCCACCACGCACCCCAGAAGCATTACAAAATCAAGGACCTTACCGGTAGGATAGCTACCCTTCCCCCCCCCCCCCCCCATGGAGGCAATAATTATGATGAATTTTGCAATTCTGCCACAGAGTAATAACTGGCGCTACAGATGGTGCCAAGGTATCAATGGAGGCAATCATTATTAATTTTGCAATTCTGCCGCAGAGTAATAGCTGGCGCTACCGACGGTATCAAGGCATCCAAGGAGCCAATATTATTAATTTTGCAATTCGTTGTCTGATGATTGGTTCAGCTATGAAACTCTGAGTCACAACGGAATTTGCCAAGGTTTCATTATGTGCTTTTGTGTAATTTTGCAATTATTCTGCTACAGAGCAATAGCTGGCGCTACCGATGGTGTCAAGGTATCCTGGCAACTGGCAGGAAACAGTGCCTAAAGTTGCGACTACTTGTACGTCGTACAACAGGAACAATCTGAGTCTCAACTTGCTACAGCCTATGGATCTCGCGAGGAAGACTTGGATATTTGGCACGTTCCTCAATTTCCTTTCAGCCGAGAATGCGTGCATGACCAGGTACATCAATGCCTATGATCAGGACCTTCTTGGTAGGTCCATCAACCAGAACACTATCAGGCCATCGGTGCTCATTATCATTGTAATGTACATGTGCATGCACATGTTTGATCTTCCTATGAGACAAACATGCACTCAGACAGAAGAACAGAACTAACGTCAGGCTCGTCACAAGTGACAAATCCGAACTTTCCACGAGTAATTTCATTCTCTTCTTTTCAGGTAGATACAGGTAGAAAAGAAAGTGACCAGTGGACAATGTAAAAATCAATGGCTCGTTCTCCATCAAATTATTGCACAAACCTGCCTAGGAGGGGTTGAAAGGAAATAAAAGAACTTTAAAGAAGCGATAGTTTACATCATCTGTGAGACTGTGCCATCAGGATACTACAACGGTCTTTTCACAAAGTCAGTGTGAAGAAAGACCATGAATGTGTATCCACGCGTATATGGTGTTCATCATGTGCATTTTCTGTTTCCTGGACATGTGTTTAGAGAAAATAATATTATTAAGTACGCTAATTTACTTGCATGACTACCCTAATAAAGTAATATTTTGAATGTTGAGTACATAGAACAGAGGCCGTTAACGCGTTCCGAACGTGCTACAATCATTCCTTTGCATTGTCCAACTGTCAGGGGACTGAGCTGTGCTCCATAGGGTAATGTGATTCTCAGTCAAAACAAATTGAAAAAATCCATATCTGGTCATATCTGGTCAGGTATGTTGAAGCTGACACACGCGTACACTGTAGATAGTGCAGTGCCCATGATCTAGTGTACGTCTAGGTCGCAAGGCGTGGAGAGATCACCAAGATTGAACTGTTGCACTAAACTGTTATCGTCCTTTTGCAGCATCCACACGCCATCGCCATTATTCTCTGGTGCGGTACATACCAACGTCCGCCTGGCTGCTTCACAGCGGGTCTTGTGTTCATCCTCCGTACAGGCTGTCCGGCCAGGCTCGTGGTTTCCGTGACAACGACACGACGAGCATCCCACTTGAATGGAGTTCGGCGCGTGGATGCTCTGGTCGTACGCGGGCATTTCCTCCCCAGTCGGTGTGTACATGGCTAGGCGCATGTCGACCAGGGGCCAGGTGTCGCACCTCACAGCTACAACACCACACACACACACACACACACACATACACGCACGCGCGCGCGCGCGCACACACACACACACACACACACACACACACACACACACACCACACCTTAGACCTTTGACATGCCCATCGCGGAAGCGATGATAGCGAACAGCTATGTTAGACATAGCAACTTGTGCTGGGATTACACCATTCAACAGCTTGCAAGGCTGATGAATTGACCGCCACTAATTTTTAGCCTGGTATCCACCACACAGCTGATTGAAGTGGCTTTTTCTGGCCAGTGAATCCCTATTTTTCTTTTTCTACACACACACGCCACACCAAATACTCCGCCATACACTGGCTGTTAGTAACTACCCAGGAGAATGAAAGAAGAGCTAGGTGAATGAGAAAAAGAAGAAAGACACACACAGACACAGACACAGAAGCAGGAAGACGGCTAATCACATGCCAGACCAGCATGCAAGATACATGTACATTGTATGTTCGTCATGTTATCATAACACATTGACACGTACCAACTGCCCCCCCCCCCTCCCCTCATACACACACACACACACACACACACCAGCCAGAGGACCAAAAAGCTAGGAGCAAAGGGTATCGCTTCCACTAATGAGTAAACTGATCGTTTATGGACAATGTGAGCGGGGACCGAATTTGTGGATCACTTTTACCGACCGGCTTAGACAGATTCCGCTAGACATTGTAATCGAATTTAACAGTATAGCAGCGTAGAGAACAACGCAGTACAATAGGCACATGTACTACAACGTAGTGCCATACCCACTTCCAAGAAAATGGTACTAATAAACTGGAAGATACTTGACTTGACACTTGACTGACTCACGACTGCCATCCAGAATACACCAGGTGTTTGTTGCGCTGGAAACGGAGCGTCTCTGTAAGTTTGTATCCCTGGTGATGTTTGCGCTTAGAGAGCACTATATAAGTGGTGCTCCTCAGGCACAACCTTCCTCCGCCTAATCAAGCTCAACTGATGAGTGTTGAATTCCCCGAAGCACTACCGGGTATGTATTGAGCAGGGAGTGGCGCTTTTTTGGAGGATTGTCAAGTCGAAGATTCGAGGGACTTCTCTTGTGCTTTGGATTGCAGTTGTGAGTCAGTCAAGTGTCAAGTCAAGTCGGCAGAAAGGCGCGAGGTCCAGTATGAGGAGCAAACCCTTTCCTAACAAATCATCACCGAAGTCGCAACCACTATTAATTTCCATACATGTAAGGCATTTGAAAATAGACTTACGGACACAACGAGGAAAGTCGTCACTAAGGACCGGTGTTCCATCCTGTCTGATGCTGCATGACAGCGTTCTCTTCCCAACAAGTCTCATGCGAGGCTTACTGCAATTGAACGTGACGCTCTCGCCGGGATTGAGCAATTTCGCATCCGGATTGTAGAGGAGATGACGCTCTTGCAGTTCTTTCTGATACCAGTCAACGGCCGTACACTTTACCAGCCATGTCTCTGTTAGTGTAAACATAGATCATGAGTGTGTTATATGCACAAGACAAAAACATTAACATGTTGTTACTTTTAAAAGATGGCAACTCTGCTGCAGTCCTTGGCTGTGTACGCTTGATATCACTTCCAATGTAAATTGCCTACGATCTTATGGTCTGATATCCGTACCGTCTCTCTAGTCTCTCTCTCTCTCTCTCTCTCTCTCTCTCTCTCTCTCTCTCTCTCTCTCTCTCTCTCTCTCTCTCTCTCTCTCTCTCTCTCTCTCTCTCTCTCTCTCTCTCTCTCTCTCTCTCTCTCTCTCTCTCTCTCTCTCTCTCTCTCTCTCTCCCTCCCTCCCTCTCTATATAGGTACATTCATGCATTTGCACTTTCAACGGCCCAGGGCTTCGGGCCAACAGGGCCTGCTAGGTCAGGGGATTACCCGGTATCCAGTAAAATTAATGATAACAGGTACATGTATGCCATGGGTCCCATTCGGTCACAGAGGGCTGATCAAAGAGAATCGTGAACATGAACGCCAGCAGTAGCCAGGTGTACGAGCTAGGAAACATCATTAATTTTCAGGACTATAATATACACTAGGTGTTATACCTGTACATGCAGCCCATGGACAATACATTGCTCAGGACCCTGCATATCACTTTCTTCTGGGGGCACGTTGTGCACATCCCTACATACATAATATAGGCTCTTAGATGTAGATGTACATTTTTGTTTTACTGAAAGTTCCCCATCTGCTAGGTTTGTTGGTTGGTTGCCAACTTGGTATTATTTTATTTTACTTCCCCAGAATGAACAGCCATCGCTGCCTTCTTGCCTGGACAAGTGGCTTGTCCAAGTTCTCACAAAAAGACGAAGAAGGTTAACTTACCCTGGCACAACACAGGCGCATTATCCGTCACCCAGTATCCCTCTTCCGTGCACCTTAGGAGAGCAGGCTGCGGTACCTTTTCGTTCATGCTGAAACCCTTTTCGCAGCGTAGCTCCAGAGTCGTGTTAACATCGTAGCCAACCCTCTCCCACTTGGCAGCTAACTCCGATCCCCTGGGAAGCCTCGGGCGATCAAGACACTTTGTAGCTGCAAAATGAAACAGGAATCAGGGAACACCGGGTAGAGCCAAGAACATTGTTATGTGAAGCTGTACAGCACCTACACGCCTTTTGTTTTGTTTTTGTATTTTTGTAGTCCCCTATGTTCTCTTGCTGTTCTTGTTGTTATCTTCCATCCTATATGTAGGCATATGTGCACTTTCATAAAAAGAGAGCAAAAAAGAGCAAAGAAAGAGCAAAAAAAGGAAAAAGCAGAAAAAAGAGCAAAAAACGGAAGCAACAGGATAGGAGCGAGAATGGAAAGCAGTAGCATTCGGCCGTGCACGGATTTATTGTACACCATCCACCCACACCACTGCGCTGTCCGCCTCTCAGTCTCAGGATTGGAACAGTTCCACTTGACTATGATTATTATTATTATTCACTCGAAAAACCCAGAAAGAGTCTTGTTCAAAGTTGTCAGGCTGTACTTAGCCTAACAGCCCTCCACCGGCATCGCACGTCATTTGCGAAAAGTGCCGTCGTTCTTCCTGCGTCCTTCCAGATTTTGAAAAATGTTATAAAAGTAGCAAGCGATACAGACCAGGTAAAATTCAAGTCGTCATCTTCATCTGATCACATAACGGTCAAAACACATAATTGTTTTATTAGTTTTCCCATGCATGCGTGCTTACGTCTGCATTCAAGGTTGCTGGCCCAGTAGCTTGCAGAGCAGTTGCGCAGGCACTGCATGTTGGCGCTATCACCATGCACCCTGGACCTGACACCTTTGCCCCTGGTCTTGAACATCGTGTGGCGGTCCAGGCAGTGGCAACGAACCTGCGATTGATAGGAACCCGCCGTGAGCGGGCGACGCTGGCAGTCGCCATTGGTGATGTTCGGTAATGGCAGACTCTCGCAGTCCACACATCCGCACTCCTCTGTTTTACGGGAATCTACATAGAGCCGGTACAGCAGAATCATAATGGTGATCAACTGGGATAAAAAAAACATACGCTACCAGAGGTCCTGAGACCGATGTCATCCATGGTGATGTAAAAACCGGGTGCACAAGAACAAGACCGTAATCAGTAGAAGATCAGCTGCGCGTTACCATGCAGACATGAGACTATGAATGCACTGCATTGGCTAGGTTGCAACTGCTTGCAGTTTGCAGCGTCGCAGAGCTAGCCCGCCGACACTTGGAAGAAAATAGGACACCGTTGGTTTCAGCTAGGGGGCGACAAGTTGGTTTCATAATACAATGTCAATGAAGCCTTAGGTCAAACATAACACTGAGCACAGTGATGACAGATGAGATCGAGTGAATTTAATAAGAGGGAATTAGAGGCCAGGACTCGTGACAATAATTATGACTGTACCCTGCATGTACATGCACATGCTTGAGACTGTGTGCGTTTATAGTGCATTGTCAGTCCCGTCCTGGATTCCTATATTGCCTCAATTAATGAAGGGAACAAGTTATACAATTTTGTGCAGACGTATCGGCATCAATGTGTAGATGTGATTCCTTACCTCTATCAGGCCCTGATTGCATGGTCATAATAATAGAGTTGGAATGTTCTCTGTTCGGGGCCGATACATTTTGCTGGTGCATGGTCTGTCCGAAACAAACATCGGTTCGCTGAGCTTTCTTGTTGCTGCAAAGTGCTTCTACTTCTGAAGAATTCTCCGAATTCCGAATGCTAATTGATTGGGCCAAAACATCCCTTCTCCTGGTGGTCTAGGAGTCAGGGTTTCAGCTAGGGGGCGACAACACCATAAGCAATCTCTCTGTGATCCTCTGCTTTGACCATGTTAGGAAGAATGCACCCACTGTAGCTCCTCAGAGAAAGCGCTGACTCGACTTGCTCGCCAATGACTTCGTGTCGCTGGAATGTGTCAAATCGGCATGTCGCTTGTGTGAACTGTGTGAGAATACTAATCGAACGTTGAGAATATCACGAATGTGAACAATAGCAGCTGAGCACTTCAGGCAGATATAGCGGAAAGGACTACTAAAGTGGTCGTTTTCCGACATGAATCCCGGCGTCAACATACTTTTCATGGTACGTCCAGGCACATGTTTCCCCTGATGGCTCGCCTGTCCGAGCGTATACTGAGTGGCTTCCGTCAAAGATTACTTGCAGCAGAAGAAAATGAATGCATATGCTACGGATTAGTAGCGACTACTTCGAAGTAGTGTAATTATCTCATTTGCCTGATGAACGCCAGAACGCCCCGCTGTTACTGAAAACCTGTATTTCGATGCTATGCGACCTTTGTGGCTATCCGTGACTGAGATTTCCCACTGTTGGCTGACCGTAGCCAGTAGAGTTTGTCTGCATGATTGCTAGAACGTGTATCGACATCGTTGTGAACACGGAAGGTACCCGTGGTCATCTCTGTTCTGACTGTACGTGTATGTGTGCATTTCCGCACATACCCTAATAATTATTATGTGACAAATGTGACGGCATGTTTGAAGTTACACGAGAATAAGAGGCACTTGTCAAGTCTACTTCTAGTTTAATTAAAACAAGTCCCTGGGCTGATTTGAAAGTACATTATAAAGCTCAAGGAATGCACTTTCATCTTTGCATTGGATAACAGAGGTAGTTCTGTGTTTAGGACCCTGGGTATCCTTGGGCTATCATTTGACCTCTGAAAAAGAGTGCCTGGCCTCTAAGCTCTAATGCACTGATCGTCATGTCCCTTGAACGTAACGGTATACTGAAGTTTCACAATGATCACATTTTGTAAACGGTGTCCTACTTCTCGTGCAATCGCAATGTACCAGTACAATGGCATGTGCTGGTATACAGATACAGCAGTATCGGTTAGGTAGGTGTACATAATATACATGCACCCCTGACATGAAGGAAATCCCCAAACGTGGCCATTTCGTTCCATCGTCGCACGTGCTCTGGCAGGAGATAAACATCAACTGCACGCACAGTGTAATTAATTGACTTCCCTTTGAAAGCTACGTGTAGCTTGACTAGTACCCAAGGACTCTAAATCTTGTCAGAATTTTCATTTTGCAGTGGAAAGGGGGGGGGGGGGGGGAATGACCCTTCAGATACTCAAAAATTCTATCACTTTGCATATCACATACATAATACCTATTTACCTAGAGAAACATGTCATAATACATACATTGCAGCAGCAAGGTTGCAAATCGCAGCGCTCAGTCGACTCACACATTTCCCAAAAGCCTTCCGACCCATTCTCATCAGTGGATGCCCATTTTCACGTGAAGCAAATCTCAGTGCACGCGTTCAGCAGTTGTGTGTGACAGTACTCGTCATTGAACACAATATACATGTACATGTACACCCATCATTATTCTCTCTTTCGTAGAGGCTTGTTGTATTCTTGGCTTTTGGCCGTTACTATATCGCAATCATACTGTTGGGCAGCATTGCCCGTTTGGTAGGTGATATAAAATAAAATATCAACAACAACAACAACAACAACAACAACAACAACAACAACAACAACAACAACAACAACAACAACAACAACAACAACAACAACAACAACAACAACAAGACTCATTCCAAACCCTCCATGTTATGTAAATCACACTATTAATACAGGTATTTCTTATTGACCACAGGCCATTGTTAGAATAAAGATTTGAAACATACACACCCACCTTCTTTCTCGTTCACCTCTCGCTGCTCGTTCTGGTTGGGGCTAGCATGTGAAAATCGATGGCAAGGTGGGGATGACAAGGTATGTACAACCAAAAGGGTCATGGCTGCACGTAGGAACAGCATCTTGGCAATACCTTCTTTATGAACCTGCCCAACCACAATTGGGATGATTCACGCCGTTTTGGAGGTCGACACGGTTTTCTGTTCCTTCTGATGCTCTAGTCTCAACAGCGGAAATCGATTGGATTCGGAAATATTCCAAATGTTGTGGACCGGGCTGTACTCTGCTCTCTGCTTTTATACCGGCTCACGGGACTATGGGATGTTTCCAGGAAAGCTCCCGTGCTCCGTGTTCAGCCAATCCGATGAAGTTCGGCAAGCGCGGATCGACGATCTTCATGTAACTGTCCGAACGCGATCCCAACCTGTTTTTGGCCATGTATTCCTCCGTACAATGCGAGTATGTCCTAGACTAGGTTGCCACGGTGAGTGACAACGTTGGCTGTGATGGCATTGTGTACAGTGTACGAGTTTGCAAAGATCCAAACTAACGTGTACGCCGATCCCAAGACACTTGGTCGGGGGAGTCCACCGCACCTCAGCGCAGCTCATAATTATAGCGCCTATACGCCCATTGTATTTTGTCTTTGTTTTGTTTCCCCTTCTTGCGTAGGTATGTGCACTGCGATAAAAAAAGAAGACAAATGAACACTCCGCACATGCCACAGCATTGCTTACTGTCGCCAATGCCATTGATGAATCGGTGCGCGTAAGATGTGGATTGATATACATTGTACGTATTATGTACACGCTATGGGAATCACATTCCTTCATTCGCCATGTCCCACTATTGATGTATATGTACATCGTACATCGTCCGTAACATTCAGTCGCTGACGCGACCTCCCAGTCGGAAAGCGACCAAGATCCACAATTATGTCATTTATGACGTACATGTAAAGCGTACATGTACATGCATTTGATAATAATTATCATACATGCACACACTGCGTGTGCAATGAAGTTCCAGGGGATATCTATATCTTGCGATGAGTCAGGCTCTGCTTTCTGGGCCAGCATGCAAATGTGCGGTAGTGCACACATACCCGTACCACTGGTATAACTATAAGCTACCACTACCCACGCCGCAGCTGGGAGGGCGGAACCCTACGCTGATTTTCCCGCCGATGTACGGTAGTTCCCCTCGCTAACCCACGCCCCAGTTTACCTTCGTTCATCAACGTCTAGGCGAACAGTAGAATGACGTCGGCGACTGTCTTTCCATGGTCTTGGCATGGAGCGCTAGATCCAGGCCGGTATGGCCAGTCAAGGTATCCAATGACAATATCCAATCGGAATGCTGCATTAGTTCGGAAATCGGCACAACAACAATACAATCTCCCATTCTGGTTTGGCAAGTTCTGGCTTTCGAGGTTTTCGTCGCAGGAACTGGAACCCTCAAAGCCGCAGAGACCACGAAGCCGCGAAGTAACAGTCCCGCATTCGGTACAACCAATCAAGCTGCTCCTGCAATATCGCACCACTCCCATGACGTAATCTAGGCACGTGATCGTCATCGCCAATGCAATGGAATCAACCCC